CCACCATTATGATTCACCGTGGCGTTCACCCCGAGGTACTCGTCCCTCCATGTGCTCCCAGAGAAGTTGTCGGACAAAAAGCCAACCAGCCCAGCCGTGATCTCCCCAGCGCTGCAGTCATTCTCAGTCAAGGCACTCTTCGCAGCACTTGCAGTGGGGCACAGCTTGGAGACAGCTTCGTCCACTTTCTTCCACGTCGCCAGCACCTCCTTCACCCGCTTCAGCTGCTCAGTCAGACGCACAGACCAAAGACTGTGTGATGGCTTCTCTTCGCCCTTCTTCTTCTTCTCGTACAGTGCAATCAACTTATCCTCCTCCTTATTATTACCTTCACCTTCAGCACTTTCGTACAGCAGGGAGCTGGCGGCAACTTCGTCTTCGTCCTTCTCGGACACGGGCCCAATATCAGCAATGTGCGTATTGTCCGTCAGCCAAAGGTGGAGTTCACTCTTTTCCTTGTTTTCGCTGCCCTTCTCCTTAGAATACACCGGCAGAGTAACGAGCATCACTTTTTTGTTGTCATCTCCAAGAGTCGCTGTGGTGAACCCGCTCGCAACACGTTTCGTCTGTTCCTCGTGTTTGTTGCCCCACACGCGCGAGAGTGTCCCGAGTGCCTCCGTCCACGACTCCCCCTTGTCACCGGACTCGTACACCCTGCGGCGGCCGCCATCGCACGCAGTCATCATCATGAGTTTCTCCTTCTCCCACTCCACGACGGAGGGATCACCGCAGCCACCGTCAGACATCCCCTTCGACAGCTTCCAACTCGAATCATCCGAAGTATCCGAAGTGTACATGAGCAGTGAGACACTCTTTCCTTCCTCTCCGTCGTTTTCTGATTCACCCTTCTTCGTTACTTCCACGGGAAACACAAGCGTACCGTCCTCCATCTTAACACCCGATCCACCGCCTGCAACCAGCTGCATCAAGGAATCCTGTTCGCGCTTAAAGAGAGTGTTGACCAGTCGCTGGCTCACATTCCATTGGATTTTTTTGTTACTGCCACTGTCCCCATCACTGACTTTCCCTTTCGCCAGCAAAAGTCCCCACTCACCTGCGCCCCTCTCCTGAGCGTCTTTAGCAGCTGCTGTCCGGCTGTATTTTCCAGCAAGCATGTAAATATCAGTTCCATTCACAAATGTTGTTGGTCGGCTCACATCTACTTTCTTTTTCTTTGCGGGAGCGCCCTCCTCCAGGACTTGTGTATCCTTTTTGGCCTCATTCAGTACTTCCACCGGTTTTTATCCGTTGGATCCGTGAGAAGTTCGGATGCAATGCCTGTAAAGCTGCCTTCACCTCCTTTATTGCACTGCGCCTCGGCGACGGCAAATACGACAGTCCCCACTTTTAGAAGGCCGGGAACGCCCAACGACTCCACAGTTTCCTCATCACCAGTGATACTCCTCCATTCAAACGTTGGATCAGCTACTAACGCACTATTCTCCACAGCGGCTGCACCTCCACCGCAGAAGCAAATCATTACAACAAGAAGGAGCAGCACGCGGAATTAAACACATGCCGGGACATGTTGGGCCTCCGCGGCTCACTCTCTCTTCCTTCCCTCCTCCTTCCGCTGGATCCGGTCACGCGGCGACGGTTGTGTGTGCGGGGTGCCTTCACCGCAGCAGCACGTGGGAGCATATAAATATGTGCGTGGGCGGTGTGTGTGTGTGTTGTTGGTCCTTTCAGAGCCTTCCAACTTCACAGTAGCGATTCGCGCTTTTGTTTTCTTCTTCGTGAGATAGCGAGCAGGAAATAAAAAGAGGAAAAAAGCCACCAAAAGAAGCAAAGGAATAAGCACCGCCAGCATCCATAGTGAGTGGCACCATCATCCGCGCCGCAGTCAATCCCCACAACAACAACTCACGCGCACAGACACACGGCACAGGAGAAGAAAGAACAGTGCACCGGGAAAACAGAGCGACTGTCACCACCAGCAGCAGAAGACACGGCGTGTGTCGTCCGTCACAGGTCCGTACACACCAAGCAATGCCCACACACAAAAAGCGGAATGCCAAGTGGCGCAGCCGCCCTTCGCAGCACACACGCGCTGCCGCCAGTCGTTTCACTGTTGTCTCTCCCCGCACAGCCGGAGAGTCCCTGGCCGACGTATCCACAGCGGGAGAGACACGTCGGCACGTGCAGCTGCACGGCAGGAAACAGTCCGCACTTGTCCCAGGCACTCTCCATGCCACACCACTCACCGGCCGCACGCCGCAAACACAACAACTGCGTCAAAAAGGTAAATCGCGGTCTCCCGTCCTCCCCAATCGTGAGGGCCGCCGCAGCCAGGATCATTTGCGTTCTCAGCGTGCACGATACGAAAGGGCGTTCGTGTGCGTGCATGTGATTGTCGGCCTTTATAATTGCAGAGCAGCTGTGCGGCACAGCAGAGCCAAAAGAAAGCAATGGCAGAGAGAGGCGGATGGCACACACACAAATTACTCATATCATCACACACACACACATGCAGCCCGCGGAATGGGTGCACTCAACCACAACACAGGCAGAGGACAAAAAATACCAACAACAAAAAGCCGAAGCGTGGGGGCGTCCACCCAGCAGTGGGGACGCGCAGCAACAGGTGGGACGACCAGCGCACACACTCTCATTGCTCCCGTAAAGCAAAACACACACACAGAGGGAGAGAGAGAGAGGTCGCCCACTCAATGCAATAAAAACAAAACAGAAACAGTTACGGTGCTCCGCCCATGCAGCCAGGCAGGACGGCAGCGGTGCGTGTCGTGCAAAAGAGAGCACCAACGGGCCTGCATGGGTGTGCATGCATATATACAATGGGCACATTATGTGTGTGCTTCGTGGGGTGAGGTGAGGGCGAGAGTCCATGCAAGGGGACACACACAGAGAGAAGGAAGAGTATGTGTGCGGGCGGTGCATGGCTCTCTCCCTCACTCTCACGCGGCCACCACCGCAGCAGCCGCCGCACACGCAACAAGAGGAAGAAGCAAAGGAGGGGAGGTGGTGTGGGAGACCGCGGTGCTGCCGTCACTGCTGCCAGGCGTTGCCGTACCATCTGTTCTGGCGGTAGCTGCTGCTTTTGCTGTCGGTGGTTTTGTCTTACTGGCCGTGGGCGCAACGTTGGTATGACTGGCTTCGGGGTCGTTGTGTGGCGTTCCGGGGTTGGGCCCTTTGCTGTTGTCGTCATTCTCATCCGCCCTACTCCGGCCATCACCACTGCCACTTGTAGAGATGGATGATGCCGTTACTTCCGCCGGGCTGCCGGTAGGTCCACCCCTCAGATCCGGTAAAACAGTGCCTTGACCCTGTTGTTCTGCCACACCATCTCCAGAAGTAGGTTCTGTCTCTTCAGGCTCCTTTTTGTTTGGTGACGGTGACGTTTTTGTCCTTTCTTCTGTCAAGGTTTGCGAGTCTGTTTGTGCCGTTGGGCTTCCTCCTGCCGGAACTGCCACCGCTGTTGGTCGTTCTTCTCCTACCGTTGCTGGTGCTGGCGGTGGACATCACGGTGCAAGGACCTTGTGCCTCCGCGTCACTCCGCCGTTTCTCTTCTCCAGTTGCGGCCCTACCAGCAGCTTCACTTTCTGGTTTTTCTTGTTTACTGGGAGAGTCTTCTTGTGCTTCGGGTGTTGACTCCGCTGGTGCCGACAGTTCGGGCAATTCGTTCCGTGCACGATTTGCTCCTGACTGCTCACCTGCTTCTTGAGGTTTCCCTCCCTTTGTGGATGCCGCAGCGCCGGTCTTCTCCAACGCATCACTCTCGTCGGTGATGGAGGGTGGGGAATTACCACCAGCAACAGGAGCGCTCAAAGATGCATCACCACCTGGACTGCCAACATCAGGTTGACTGCGACCACCAGAAGAGAAGGAGCCCAAAATGAAACATTTGCTTCCGTCAGAACCTACACTTCCCGTAGGAGCCCCAGGAGAACTGCCACCATCACCGAGAACAGGAGATGGGGACTTGACATCCGAAGCAGGGGACTTCAAAGAGCCACCAACACGTGCTTTAGAACCTCCATTTGAACCACCACCACCACCACCAGAAGCTTTGCTGCCACGAGCTTGACTGCCACTGGCACCTCCAACGCCACCAGGACCGCCAGCACCGTCGTCTCTACCGCCTCCACCTTCACCTCCGCGACCAGGAGGAGAACCGGCACCACCGAAATCAGCACCTGAACTCGGAGCCAAATCCGATTTATTTTCGGCTGCACCAGTCACCAATGGGTCAGTCGAAGCTGCAACGGCAGTGATGGACAAGACCGATCGTAAAGGCAGCGTCAGCGCCGTTTTGTCGCATCCGCTCGGCGTATACGATTTATTCGCATTCAACACCCACGACGCCATGCAGCCACCAACTGCGTTGTTCCCGAGATTACTCGCATCAGCCCCGCCGGCACCGCACCACAGCACGCAGAGGGCACACACCAGCAGCACACGGCCAGTCATCATCATCGCCATCACTCCTGTCACTTGCCTGCAGCCTTCAGCACAAACTAACTCCCCGTCAACGCAGAGCGGAAGCAGAAGAAGAGACACGGCCGCTACACCACGCACAGCCACCGCACAGTCACAAATGGCAGCAGCCCAGCAGCGGCAGCGCACACACACCATGAGGCAGTTGAAAGCAGTGAAAGGGCAAAAACACACAACGCCCCGCAGCAAGCAAACAGAAAAACACACAAAACAATTAGAAACAAAACACAGGTAAACGAACAGCAATGAAGTTAAAATGTAAACACACAAAACAAAGGGCTGCACAGCATGGCTCCAGCGCGCACGCACCCATCCTCAAATGTGACTCCACGCAATCAGTTGTGTGCGTGCCATGCACATGAGTGTGTCTGGGGTGCGTTCAACGTGACGGATGCGGGGAGCGGCAAGGAGCACACAGCAGGGCAGCGGAAGCAAGTGAAGCAAAACACAATCATTATTTTATCCTGTTTAGCACATCGGACCACAGTGGACGCACACAAGTCCCCACGGTTGAGTGCTGGCACGCACAGCCCGCACACAATTCTTCAGCCCAGAGTGGTGTACGCCAGCGCGGATACGGCGAGCAGCAGCGGGGCACACACCCACGCAGAGCTGCTGAGGCTGCCGTCGATTTCGCGAAGAAGTGACGGTGTGCGGGTCGTCATCGTGCTTGGCGCTTCTGTACTCGTGGTACTCGTTGCTTCTGGGGCAGTGGTCGTCGTTGTTGTTGTTGTGGCTGGTGCATTCGTCGTATTCGTCGTGGTCGTATCCGGTTTGTTTAACGGATCGGTTTCACCTTTTGCCTGATCCACACCGATCGGAATTTGTAAACCTGACTGACCAGTCGCCCCACTTGTTGCCTGTTCCTGTTTTGGAATAGTCTCCGGACCTTCTGTACCTGAACTCCCTGGCACACCGGGACCCGGACCTGATCCTTGTGATGTGGAATTTTCACCTTGTGTCTGTCCAGTACTGGCCTGACTTGAGGGCCCTTTCCCACCGGTTTCTGAAATCGTTGCCGGTTCCTCCACCGTTTTGGCCGGGCCTGCTGAATCTGGCGCACTGGCCGCTGTACTTGATGTCGGTCCATTACGTTTCGCCGCATCTGCTGCCCCTTGAAAACTGAGCGTGCCATCGGGCTGTTTCGCATCGTTCCCCGGAATCTCAGAAGTACCGACCCCCGGATTCGCTGAACCCGGAACACCTGCTCCCTCTCGCAAAGCAGGCGATAAACTGGGGCTGTCCTCATTTTGATCTCCACCGGTCCCTCTTGCGGTATCACTCCTAGTATCTGATGCTTGTCCTTTACTGTCCTGACTCTTTGACGGTAATGCATCGGTCGGAGGTGTTGAACTTGGCGCCGTGGAAGTATTTTTTGGCCCTGAACCACCTGTTCCCTGTGGCTGAGCAGTCGTTGAACTGGAGCTACCCTTATCGGTACCTTCGCCAGTCGTTGTTGCGCACACGGACGGGCAGCAGCACAGGGCAAGCACCAACAGGGCGCACAGCAGACGGCACGTCGTCATCTTGAGTGTGGTCGTTCAGTGGTGTGGAGCTGATCTGCACAGTGAGGGACATGGAGAGCAACAGGGGAGACGAGAGGTGCGGCAGACACACACAGAGGGCAAACACACACATGAGGAGAGGGCAGCAGCCAGGCATGCACCGTACGCCGCACACCACGCACAGCACACACTCCAATCCACGGCAACAGGCACACACACACACAGCCCTGCCGCAACACCAACACACAGATGGAGGAGGGAGAAGCAAACAGGAGCGGCACGCACACACGAGAATAGGTGCAGCGCACACAGCAACACAACAGCAAAGTAACCATGAAAAAGAATGGATCCCCGCACACCACGTGGATTGTTGGTCCACGGGAAGCGCAGCCACCACCGCAGCAGCAGCAGCACACGCAAATTCAAGCGCAAGGAATGGAATACAGCAGCCATTCATTTGTGTTTCCTTTTGGAGGGTGGAAGATGTCTGCATATGTTGCTATTGTTTTTGCGGAGGGTAAACCTTCATGCCTGCATCGTGTGTTGGGGTTCCTGCAGTGTGCACAACTGTTTCCTTCTCTTGTGAATTTTTATTGTGTTGGTGCAGCCAATAATTCAATTTGTGTTGTTCCTGCTTTTCGCTGGTAAAGTGCCGCAATAGATGTTTTTATTTCCTCCTTCGTTGCTGTGGCACCTGATTCCTCACCGTTTATTGCGGTGGAAATGGGAATATGTGAGTGGACTCCCACGCACCAGAACGCACCTTCGCTCCTATTTATTGCTGCACAGAAGGGCATGCGTGTTTGGTGGTGCCTCGACCATATATTTTGTGGGCGTACATTCCCCTGCAGGCTGAGGGCGGGGCGACGCTCCGTCGCGGTGCACTTCCCTCGCATGCCGCCCACTCTGATTCATCATGCATCACCCCCTCACATACTCCGTGGTGCCACACCGCTGATATCATTGCAGCCGCTGTGATTCCGCGTATTTCACGCATTTGATTGTGCCACAATGCATCCGCTCGTGTGGCCGCCGCATCCAAACAGCGGTGCCCAACACCGTGAGCGGCAGTCCACATCCCTGCATGTCCCAGCGCAGTGGTGCTTGACTGTCAGCCAGGCGCCAGACAACACGAGAGTATTGTGCCGGCAGCACAACACACGGAGCTGCAGCGAATGACTCGGGCGGCGACGCATCTATTTGTCGCAAGGCAGTGAAAAGGAGTCGGGCAAAATGATGCCGGCTGCATCCACGACACCATACCCACAGCCAAAGCATGCGACATGATGTGTGTTTCGCTGGTGCTGTGGAATGCCTGCAGACGACGTCACTAGTGGAGGCACACCACCCATGATCAGCGGACAGACAATAATCGGCATGGGAGGCCACAAAAGGCAGCAACGACGTCAGCAGCAGCAGCTCTCTCTCTCTCTCTGTTGCCTCCGAGAAGCAATTATTCCACCAGCCACAGCCGGCTGTGCCATCGTGACACTCCATGCACGTCGTGGCTGCGTCAACACATCCTGCTCCCTGCAGCGCCTCAAAAGATGCCTCACTCCGTCCACTAAGTGCATCGATGCGGGCCGTGCCCGGGCTGTGCGTGAGGACCACAGCGATGTGAGGGTCACCGAGTCGCAGCATGTTTGTTGTGACGCTGTTGCATGGCACCCGCACACACACACGCAGTGCCTGCATCCTCCCTTTTGTGTTCGCCCTCCGCCGGAGTGGCCACACACACGGGCAGCAGCAAATTCATTTCACCCTCGACGATCCAAAATCAACACCGACATCCCTCGCCACGCAAAGATCTCAGTTGCCAGCACGGGCCTCCTGCCGCTCTGCCATCGACGCCGAAAAACGGCACAGTGCACGCACTTATTTTCCTCGTGTTCCGTCAGCCGTTTGCTTCACACATTCTCCGACGGGCTGACGCCCACAAAAGCACGCCACAAAAGCCACTGTGATCGCACAGGCTCTTGCGATGAGCGTCTGCGTGTGTGCATGGATCCGCTGCTCACACGTGCTGGCAGGCAGCCTGCAGCCGGTGCCCTCGTGCCAGTTCGTCGGCTCCAGCATGGGAAAGAGAAAATGGCCAGTTCCTCGTGCACTCATTCCCACCAGCAGCACCAACACGCAGGTCGCCAGCCGTCATTCCTCAGCACATCCAGGAATGCCGAAAAGTGACGTGGAACTGTCAGCCAGCAATGCCACAATCCCCGCACACATGTCGGCTCCACCAGAGAAGACACACAAACTACACACAACACCCCTCACATGTTTTCCGAACATCATTCCGACACACCGCGACACGCCAAACAGAAGTATTCGTCACTCCATGCACCTCCCCACACACAATCAAATAGTCCATGCACCACGCACGGCAGCAGCTCACACCCGTCTAAACAAGTGTTCCTCGGACCAGTGTTGTCCGCGTTCTGTAGTGGGAGGTAAACAAAAGAGACGGGCCGCCAAACCCCAAAAGAGTGCAACGACTGGCCGCAAGTCAACGGAACGCAGCCACTCAAAACAATTCAGTCCTAATGCCCTCAGCCTCCCACCTTCTCCCACAAAAGCCCCAAGAGACGCCAATCAGGCGCGCCGTCCAACAAAGTCGCTGTGCAACACCAGGAGGAATCGCAGTGCCTCCTGCTGCCATCCGGGTACGTTGTGGACGTCATGATGAGTAGAAACGCCCATTGGTGCTTCGAAACGACGCTGCACACCTGCGACGCATCATACGGTTTGAGACGCACGTGCCTCACCAGCAATACAGACGCCCACGCGCCGTCGGTACGCCCTACATCGTCAAGGAAGCAAAGGATACGTCAGGGTGGCAGCAAAGCACTCGCTGGCAATTCCCGTCGCAGGCATCATCACAAGCAGCTCCAGCAGCGCTGCAGACCGTGGGGTGACGTGGATCAACTGACGCATGGCGTATGTGGAAAAGAAAGGACGTGGTGGCTTTACAAGGATACGAGTGGCTGACACTTTTAGAAGGAGAAAGAAAACAATGTGAGAACACACAAAGAGGAATCAGGCGTCTGCAGTCAAAGCAAACCAGCAATCAAAAAAAGTAAGATGGGTGCACTCAACCACAACACAGGCAGAGGGTAAAAAATACCAACAACAAAAAGCCGAAGCGTGGGGGCGTCCACCCAGCAGTGGGGACGCGCAGCAACAGGTAGGACGACCAGCGCACACACTCTCATTGCTCCCGTAAAGCAAAACACACACACAGGGAGAGAGAGAGGTCGCCCACTCAATGCAACGGAAACACAAAAACAGTTACGGTGCTCCGCCCATGCAGCCAGGCAGGACGGCAGCGGTGCGTGTCGTGCAAAAGAGAGCACCAACGGGCCTGCATGGGTGTGCATGCATATATACAATGGGCACATTATGTGTGTGCTTCGTGGGGTGAGGTGAGGGCGAGAGTCCATGCAAGGGGACACACACATAGAGTGAGAAGGACGAGTGTGTGTGCGTGCGGTGCATGGCTCTCTCCCTCACTCTCACGCGGCCACCACCGCAGCAGCAGCCGCACACGCAACAAGAGGAAGAAGCAAAGGAGGGGAGGTGGTGTGGGAGACCGCGGTGCTGCCGTCACTGCTGCCAGGCGTTGCCGTACCATCTGTTCTGGCGGTAGCTGCTGCTTTTGCTGTCGGTGGTTTTGTCTCACTGGCCGTGGGCGCAACGTTGGTATGACTGGCTTCGGGGTCGTTCTGTGGCCCTCCGGGGTTGGGCCCTCTGCTGTTGTCGTCATTCTCATCCGCCCTCTACTCCGGCCATCACCACTGCCACTTGTAGAGATGGATGATGCCGTTACTTCCGCCGGGCTGCCGGTAGGTCCACCCCTCAGATCCGGTAAAACTGTGCCTTGACCCTGTTGCTCTGCCACACCATCTCCAGAAGTAGGTTCTGTCTCTTCAGGCTCCTTTTTGTTTGGTGACGGTGACGTTTTTGTCCTTTCTTCTGTCAAGGTTTGCGAGTCTGTTTGTGCCGTTGGGCTTCCTCCTGCCGGAACTGCCACCGCTGTTGGTCGTTCTTCTCCTACCGTTGCTGGCGCTGGCGGTGGACATCACGGTGGAAGGACCTTGTGCCTCCGCATCACTCCGCCGTTTCTCCTCTCCAGTTGCCGCCCTACCAGCAGCTTCACTTTCTGGTCTTTCTTGTTTACTTGGAGAGTCTTCTTGTGCTTCGGGTGTTGACTCCGCTCGTGCCGACAATTCGGGCAATTCGTTCCGTGCACGATTTGCTTCTGACTGCTCACCTGCTTCTTGAGGTTTCCCTCCCTTTGTGGATGCCGCAGCGCCGGTCTTCTCCAACGCATCACTCTCGTCGGTGATGGAGGGTGGGGAATTACCACCAGCAACAGGAGCGCTCAAAGATGCATCACCACCTGGACTGCCAACATCAGGTTGACTGCGACCACCAGAAGAGAAGGAGCCCAAAATGAAGCCTTTGCTTCCGTCAGAACCTACACTTCCCGTAGGAGGCCCAGGAGAACTGCCATCACCGAGAACAGGAGATGGGGACCTGACATCCGAAGCAGGGGACTTCAAAGAGCCACCAACACGTGCTTTAGAACCTCCATTTGAACCACCACCACCACCACCAGAAGCTTTGCTGCCACGAGCTTGACTGCCACTGGCACCTCCAACGCCACCAGGACCGCCAGCACCGTCGTCTCTACCGCCTCCACCTTCACCTCCGCGACCAGGAGGAGAACCGGCACCACCGAAATCAGCACCTGAACTCGGAGCCAAATCCGATTTATTTTCGGCTGCACCAGTCACCAATGGGTCAGTCGAAGCTGCAACGGCAGTGATGGACAAGACCGATCGTAAAGGCAGCGTCAGCGCCGTTTTGTCGCATCCGCTCGGCGTATACGATTTATTCGCATTCAACACCCACGACGCCTTGCAGCCACCGACTACGTTGTTCTCGAGATTACTCGCATCAGCCCCGCCGGCACCGCACCACAGCACGCAGAGGGCACACACCAGCAGCACACGGCCAGTCATCATCATCGCCATCACTCCTGTCACTTGCCTGCAGCCTTCAGCACAAACTAACTCCCCGTCAACGCAGAGCGGAGGCAAAAAGAGAGACACGGCCGCTACACCACGCACAGCCACCGCACAGCCACAAATGGCAGCAGCCCAGCAGCGGCAGCGCACACACACCATGAGGCAGTTGAAAGCAGTGAAAGGGCAAAAACACACAACGCCCCGCAGCAAGCAAACAGAAAAACACACAAAACAATTAGAAACAAAACACAGGTAAACGAACAGCAATGAAGTTAAAAATGTCAACACACACAAAACAAAGGGCTGCACAGCATGGCTCCAGCACGCACGCACCCATCCTCAAATGCGACTCCACGCAATCAGTTGTGTGCGTGCCATGCACATGAGTGTGTCTGAGGTGCGTTCAACGTGACGGATGCGGGGAGCGGCAAGGAGCACACAGCAGGGCAGCGGAAGCAAGCGAAGCAAAACACAATCATTATTTTATCCTGTTTAGCACATCGGACTACAGTGGACGCACACAAGTCCCCGCGGTCGGGTGCTGGCACGCACAGCCCGCACACAATTCTTCAGCCCAGAGCGGTGTACGCCAGCGCGGATACGGCGAGCAGCAGCGGGGCACACACCCACGCAGAGCTGCTGAGGCTGCCGTCGCTTTCGCGAAGAAGTGACGGTGCGCGAGTGGTTGTCGTTGTAGTTGGCGCCTCCGTAGTCGTAGTGGTGGTGGTAGTTGGTGCTTTTGTCGTAGTCGTGGTTGTCGTAGTTGGCGCATTTTCCTTCTGAATTTGTGCCGATACAGGCGCGGTCACGGAACTTGACGATGTATTTGGGTTAGCGGACCCACCTGACGACCCTGACCCATCGGACCCACTTGGTACCTCTTTTGTAATAGGCTCCGGACCTTCTGTACCTGGAGTTTCTGGCACACCGGTTCCCGCACTTGATCCTTGTGATGTGGGGTTTCCACTTTGTGTCTGTCCATTACTGGACTGACTTAGGGGCCCTTTCCCACCGGCCTCGGAAATTGTTGCCGGTTCCTGTAACGTTTTGGCCGGGCCTGCTGAGTCTGGCGCACTGGCCGCTGTAATTGATGTCGGTCCATTACGGACCACCGCATCTCCTGTCCCTTGCGAACTGGGCGTACCATGGGGCTGTTTCGCGTCGTTCCCCGTAATTTCTACCGTAACGGACCCCGGAATCTTTGACGGTGACGCATCGGTCGGACCTGTTGAATTTGGTTCGGTGGAAGTATTTGTTAACCCCGCACCACCTGATCCCTGTGACTGAGCAGTCGTTGAACCACTGCCCGCATCTTGTTCTCCGCTACCCTCCGTCACGCACACGGACGGGCAGCAGCACAGGGCAAGCACCAACAGGGCGCACAGCAGACGGCACGTCGTCATCGTGAGTGTGGTCGTTCAGTGGTGTGGAGCTGATCTGCACAGTGAGGGACATGGAGAGCAACAGGGGAGACGAGAGGTGCGGCAGACACACACAGAGGGCACACACACACATGAGGAGAGGGCAGCAGCCAGGCATGCACCGTACGCCGCACACCACGCACGACACACACTCCAATCCACGGCAGCAGGCACACACACACAGCCCTGCCGCAACACCAACACACAGATGGAGAGGGAGAAGCAAACAGGAGCGGCACACAAGGCTCCACCGCATGTACATACGGCAAGAGCGGTCCGTCGCGTCGGCACCCCTCACGGAGGGCACGCACACACGAGAATAGGTGCAGCGCACACAGCAACACAAAAGCAAATTAACCATGAAAAAGAATAGATCCCCGCACACCACGTGGATTGTTGGTCCACGGGAAGCGCAGCCACCACCGCAGCAGCAGCAGCACACGCAAAGTCAAGCGCAAGGAATGGAATAAAGCAGCCATTTACTTGTGTTTCTTTTTGGAGGGTGGAAGATGTCTGCATATGTTGTTATTGTTTTTGCGGAGGGTAAACCTTCATGCCTGCATCGTGTGTTGGGGTTCCTGCAGTGTGCACAACTGTTTCCTTCTCTTGTGAATTTTTATTGTGTTGGTGCAGCCAATAATTCAATTTGTGTTGTTCCTGCTTTTCGCTGGTAAAGTGCTGCAATAGATGTTTTTATTTCCTCCTTCGTTGCTGTGGCACCTGATTCCTCGCCGTTTATTGCGGTGGAAATGGGAATACGTGAGTGGACTCCCACGCACCAGAACGCACCCTCGCTCCTATTTATTGCTGCACAGAAGGGCATGCGTGTTTGGTGGTGCCTCGACCATATATTTTGTGGGCGTACATTCCCCTGCAGGCTGAGGGGGGGGGGCGACGCTCCGTCGCGGTGCACTTCCCTCGCATGCCGCCCACTCTGATTCATCATGCATCACCCCCTCACACATTCCGTGGTGCCACACCGTCGATATTATTGCAGCCGCTGTGATTCCGCGTATTTTACGCATTTGATTGTGCCACAATACATCCGCTCGTGTGGCCGCCGCATCCAAACAGCGGTGCCCAACACCGTGAGCGGCAGTCCACATCCCTGCATGTCCCAGCGCAGTGGTGCTTGACTGTCAGCCAGGCGCCAGACAACACGAGAGTATTGTGCCGGCAGCACAACACACGGAGCTGCAGTGAATGACTCGGGCGGCGACGCATCTATTTATCGCAAGGCAGTGAAAAGGAGTCGGGCAAAATAATGCCGGCTGCATTCACGACACCATACCCACAGCCAAAGCATGCGACATGATGTGTGTTTCGCTGGTGCTGTGGAATGCCTGCAGACGACGTCACTAGTGGAGGCACACCACCCATGATCAGCGGACAGACGATAATCGGCATGGGAGGCCAGAAAAGGCAGCAACGACGTCAGCAGCAGCAGCTCTCACCCTCTCTCTCTGTTGCCTCCGAGAAGCAAATATTCCACCAGCCACAGCCGGCTGTGCCATCGTGACACTCCATGCACGTCGTGGCTGCGTCAACACATCCTGCTCCCTGCAGCGCCTCAAAAGATGCCTCACTCCTTCCACTAAGTGCATCGATGCGGGCCGTGCCTGGGCTGCTCGTGAGGACCACAGCAATGTGAGGGTCACCGAGTCGCAGCATGTTTGTTGTGACGTTGTTGCATGGCACCTGCACACACACACGCAGCGCCTGCATCCCTCCCTTTTGTGTTCGCCCTCCGCCGGAGTGGCCACACACACGGGCAGCAGCAAATTCATTTCACCCTCGACGATCCAAAATCAACACCGACATCCCTCGCCACACAAAGATCTCAGTTGCCAGCACGGGCCTCCTGCCGCGCTGCCATCGACGCCGAAACACGGCACAGTGCACGCACTTATTTTCCTCGTGTTCCGTCAGCCGTTTGGTTCACACATTCTCCGACGGGCTGACGCCCACAAAAACACGCCACAAAAGCCACTGTGATCGCACAGGCTCTTGCAATGAGCGTCTGTGCGTGCATGGATCCGCTGCTCACACGTGCTGGCAGGCAGCCTGCAGCCGGTGCCCTCGTGCCAGTTCATCGGCTCCAGCATGGGAAAGAGAAAATGGCCAATTCCTCGTGTACTTATTCCCACCAGCAGCACCAACACGCTGGTCGCCAGCCGTCATTCCTCAGCACATCCAGGAATGCCGAAAAGTGACGTGGAACCGTCAGCCAGCAATGCCACAATCCCCGCACACATGTCGGCTCCACCAGAAAAGACACACAAACTACACACAACACCCCTCACATGTTTTCCGAACATCATTCCAACACACCGCGACACGCCAAACAGAAGTATTCGTCACTCCACGCACCTCCCCACACAATCAAATAGTCCATGCACCACGCACGGCAGCAGCTCACACCCGTCTAAACAAGTGTTCCTCGTACCAGTGTTGTCCACGTGCTGCGGTGGGCTGCCCCGGCTGAGGCGAGCTACTGTCGGAAATATTGTTTGCGATCACTCACCCCAACGCGGCCGCCTCCCAGGTGGCTGCGCAACCAGTGTTGGGCTCGACAGCACAGGCGCGGGAGCCCGCAGACCACAGCCAGCAATCGCCCATCGTCAACGGTGTCGAACGCAGTCGAGATGCCGGTCGTGACTGCGAGAGAGCGGCGACGGCGAGGGTGCAGCGCGGGACGCCGCCCCTGCGACGCCCACACTCCACGGCGATGCGCTCGCTCAGCCCTCGTGCCGTTTTGTCACGGACAGGCGTCACCACGTCGGAGACCGTGCGTCGTGGCGTTAATCGAGGCTGACGGCGGCGGCGTGCCGGCAGCGCTGACAGGCGGCGGTGGACCAGTCCCTCGCTCACCCCTAGCAG